ATTAAACACAGCCTCGTTTTTTTCCTTAATATGATTGTCAGCCTGGTTACAGAAATTTAAGTTACCTAGATAATAAATTCTAAATATGTAATTCTAACAAATCTCATTGGAAGGCATCACTCTGTAGATAAGCAAGGGCAATGACTTGGTGAATGAATATTAACTATAAATGCTAAGCAGCATCAGCATGGATCAAGATTTTACGAAGGTCATCTTTGAAGGCATGTATCCTCACCATAAACTTACTATTCCTGTGCATCATGGATATTACATAAATTATTGGGCCAAGAAGACCTTCTTGCATTGTACTGTATTTTCAGAAACTCTTAAAATACTTCATGCCCAGTAAAGGATGCATAGCTGCTGGTCTCATACTTTGCTTAATCTTCTTCCAACTGTTAGTAATAGTGTTTTTTTTATACAAACTGGTTTCTAGAATATTTATGCATGTAGCTTGTAAGCCATTTATTTAGTGAACAACTCAGTCCTGCTGAGTTGTCATACAGGAATATAAGTGTGTCCATGATCTTCAGATAGCTTGCTTCCATTCATGGTCCATGTATCTTACATTTATAATATAAAGCAGGAGGAAATGGTCTTCTCTGTGAAGTCTAAGATGATAATTCTATGCTGTAATTAAGAATATTTTATTATTGACAGGTACCGTGAAAAAGCAAAGAAGGATATTGCTGCTGTGGGTAACCATGCTGCTAAATTGTTACAATCCCTAGGCAAGGTAATTACAAATGTAGGCCACTTGTGACAGGGCAGAAATACTTTTTTCCTGATATTCTGTAAATAAATAAGTCAAGAAATGGATATGAAAAGAGAGCTGAATTATCTCATTCCCTTAGGTTCTAATGAGATTTAATATCTGTGGTCTGTTTAATAAAACAGACCACAGATATTAAATCTCATTAGAACTTTTGATTTGGTCATATAAAATAAAAGCAAAATACATAAAGAGCTATATTATTTACAAGTTTAAGATAGCCCTTTTTACAAGAATGAGTAGGTAATATCACAGTGAATGAATTAGTATACCCAAAAACATGAATTGTCTGCTCATTGTATTGTACTGGAACCAGTGTATTTTCTGTTCTAGGCACCTGAGTCAATTTCAGAGAGAGAATTGAAATTGCTTTGTGAGTATGCTTGGATTCTATTTCAGTGTTTTGCAGATGATGTAATATTAAACCAACAAAAAGCTTCCGAATGATAGCGTAGCTATTAATTGTTAGCTCACGAGTTGAACTTTTCAGCCATGTGCTTAGCCATTGCATTCATCATCTTCAGTGTAGAGAACATGCTCAACATCTTTCAAAAGTGAGTCTGTAAAGGTTGGCTTTAGAAGAAGATGGAATATTTTTTTCAGGTCCAAACAACAGGTAGCAGATAGCCTCTACTTTCTGTAAGTATTATCTAATCGCTGTCATACGTTCTATGATTCAGACTTCTGAGTGTAGTCTCTGTACACTTCTTGTAGTCTGAAAACTTAAAACAATGATTCAGGGAATAGTACTGCTTATGGCAGTTAGGTTATGTTATGGATATATTCATGTCAGTGGAGCAGCCTGAGTAAGTCTCCTCACAATGGATAGCTTTCCTGTAAGCATGTAGCCAAGAACATGCTGCATTTACATATCACCTGCTGGAATTTTTAAGCATCTCTTACAAGTTACTCATTTGTTTTCAGTGCCAGGTACACATTTTGAGTGCCAGGTGCCCATTGGGTTGCTTCATTGCAGTGATAGTGGAGGAGAACCTTTATTTGCTCATGGCTGTAGTTAAAATATTAATTGAGAATATGTGAGACAGTGGTAGATATGGTGAAAGATAGAGTATCTGTGTTCATTTACAGGAGAAGCTGATGGTTGTAACTGATGGCTTGCTGTAAAAGATGCACACACTGTGAGCTGTTACACGTAGCTGTTAGATAACACAAGAGTTATGCTTAGAATGTGGAAGCAAATATGCACAAAGTATTTCTGTAAAAATATAAACGTAAATGTAGTCTAATAGATGTTATCACTGAGGTACAAGAAGAAACAGATTGAAGACAAACTCATCGTTGTATTGTTTAACAACGTTGTATAGATCAGAGATAAGATTTATAGATTTAGTAATTGATGATGCATTCAAGTCAGTAATGCTTGTCTTTCTGCATTTTCTTAGGCAGCAACTCAGCTTTTCTTCGAGTAGTGAGGTGTAGATCTCTGTCTGAAGAGTATGGTTTAAACACTTTTAACAAGGATGAAATAAGTAAGTACTCCTTTATGGCGTATACTTTAACTGTGTTTTCAACTTGAATGGTTTTGTTATCAGAAAGAATTGTACGTTAGATATACTATTTCATTATGTAGTTTTATAATTCACCATCAATTAGAATTACATTTTTGTTAACTGTAGAATGTTGATTTCATTTTGATTTTTTAAAGTTCAAAAATGAAGTTACAGAGTAATGCATATTTCATATTTTTCCATTTTTTTTATAGCACATACATAAAATGTTGTCTTTCTTTAAACTTCTCCTTTTTTTTCTATGCCTTTTATTTCTGACAGAACTGGAAAGGTGCTTTCACCTGACTAAAGATTTGATAATAATTATTCTGGCCTCGCTCAGTTCAGGTTTTTGTATGTGAATAAAGGGAAAATCTAGTTATATAACACTTTCTTTTTTTGAACCTGCATAAATTAAAAAAAAAAAAAAAGGAAATACCTTTTATCATCACAACTTGTTTAAATGAAGCTCATAAAAGTTCTCTAAATTTTTGGACAAAATGTACACACATTTATAAATTAAATATATATAGTTTGTATATGTATACATTTGGGAATATTGATAACTTCAGTAAAAGCTCCTTGAATTAGCTGATAATATCTTTTGAGACTTAGGTAGTTAATTTTTAGGAAAACTACTAAATTGTCTTAAGGGATTTAAGACCTGTTCTATAATTAGTCATAATTAATTGTAAGTAGCATGCGTTTCAAAACCTAAAATTACAGCTAATGAATATCCCATTTAACATAGCAGCTGTCAGAATCGAAACATGAGTATCTTCACTGAACAGAAATTACACCAAATATATGAAACAGTTTTGTCAGGCACTCTGGAGTCAAAATCAACTATCTGCTAGATCAGACATTTACATTCTTGGTGGCAAACTTTTTTAACAACAGAAAAAAAAATAAGGGTTTTACAGTTTAAGTACGTGGGGAAATGCTTGATTTCAAGTAATTCAAACACTCTTTTTCCCTTTAATCTGTACCTGCTAACCACTTCTCTATTTTCAGTTTCTAATATGGATAACCCAGACAGTGAAGTAGTGCTGTACTTGATGCTACGGGCTGTTGATAGATTTTATAAGCAGCATGGGAGATACCCAGGTATGTTCATATCAGTTGTCATCATAAGAGGTATGAAAATTCAATAGTTATTACAATACTAGTTACGAACTCCATATATAACATCTGTTGTTTTTTTGTTTCCTTATTAATGCAACTTCAACATCGCAAAAATTAAACATTATTTTAGGGGGAATTTAAAGAATTTAGATAAAATTGATACCATTGAAATGCATTGCACGGATTATGAATTAATTCAACTATGCTGCAATTCGTCATTATCATGAGTAGCATCAACAGAATTATTAAATATTATCTATTGCTATTAGTCTAATATATTAATCTACTTCGAATTTTTTTCTTCAGAAGAAAAATAAGTAATTTTGAATGTGGTGTTAAAGCTACATGATGAAACAGTTTTATTTATTTTCCAGGTGTCTACAATTATCAGGTAGAAGATGATATTGGAAAACTGAAATCATGCCTTACAAGTTTCTTACAAGAACATGGATTGTCTGTAGTGGTGAAAGATGACTATGTTCATGAATTGTAAGTAAAATATTTTAAGAGTCACTTTGTAAAACTGACCTGGAAATACTAACTATTACTTTGCTGTCTAGTTGTCGCTATGGAGCTGCTGAGCCACATGCTATTGCTGCCTTCATGGGAGGTAAGAATGCTATTGTATTTCCATAATGAACAAAGCAATCTGCAGTTGTACCTGCTTGAGTCAGAATCTTGCTGTTTTAATGACTCGGTATTGTCAGAGCAGACTGTAATTGTGGACTGTTGTCAAAGATGTAACAAAATTCTTCAGTTGTGGCTCCTCCTAGCAAGGGTTTAAAGTCAGTAGAAGAAACCAAGGAAACTTAAATAATCCCAGTAGATGTGGTTTTTTTTTTGGTTTGTTTTTTTTTTTAAGTTTTATTTAAAGGAATACCTATAGTAATTTTAAAAGGGAATATTTACAATAATATTGAGTGTATTACATTACTTTAAAGGAAAATGTATACCATGTTAATTTTAGGTTAAGTAATGTTTAAATGTAATTAATCTTGACTGCTCAGATTTTAATTGTGTAGATACATGCACAGAGAAATTATATGTAATAAAATAAAGTGTGTCTAAAGCTAGATTTGAAGCTTCTGAAGTAACGGCTTTCAGAGCCTCTTCTATATTGGGAAGTACTGAAAGACTTTTTTTTTAACTAGGAGTTGCAGTGAGCACTTCTCCAGCAATCCCAGTGCATACAGTTCTAGGTTAAGAACATGCTTTGTAATGGATTTAAAATATCACCTGCTAACTATATTATCTTATTTTGTAGGAGCTGCTGCTCAGGAGGTCATTAAAGTCATTACAGGACAATTTGTAATTTTTAATAACACCTATATTTACAGTGGAATGTCACAGACTTCAGCAACTTTCCAGCTGTAGAATAACCATCTCACATTTGTTGCCACCAGGCTGTGCTGCTGTGTTCTGTAAATACTGTGGTGGTTTGCCACTGACTGGACTGTTCTGTATTACCTGCAAAATTAAACTTCTTTTGTTTGTAATGATTTTATCTGTTGTTTGTTTTGTTTTTCCCCCACTGAGGATAAATAAAATCATTCCCAATTCTCCTTTTTTTTTTCTTACACAGGTAAGAAAAAGTCCTAGATTTAAAAAAAAAAAAAAAAAAAATTGTTTGGAGATTAAGTGGCATTTACAAATTAGTTTACCTGGTTTGCAGCAGAGATGATTTTTTTCATTAAAGTTGCTAATCTGGTTGAGGGGGTGATGAGTTGCAAAAGGTTAAAGGAGGATGCAAGTGAGGGGAGACCTAGGGAAAGCTGTAGTGCCCTTTACTGAGTCAGTCTGAGGATGTTACGGGAAAGGATTATGTTCAAAAATTACTTATTTTGGTTCAGCTGTATTTATCTAGCATGAGATGGTCTCTCTCTCCCTCACTGTGTGTCTGGCAAATGTCAGGTAACAATTAACGGTATGCATTTCATGGTGTAGTTGTAGTTTCCCAAATGCTGAGTACGGAAAGTGAGCTGCACTGCAAGCTGCTCTTCCCCTCTCCTTAGCCTAGAGGCACGCTAGGGTTCAGGTGGTGCTTGGGGACGGTTACGAGGGGCTGTCCGCCCTGCTGCGGCCGTGAGCGGCAGCTGGGGCCTGAGGCGAGCTGCCCGCGCCCTTGGGCGGGAAGGGCCCGCGCCGGGGCTGAGGGCGGCCGGCTCCTCGCGCTCCTCAGGCCGCGACGCGGCGGCCGGGCCGAGCGGCGGGGCCGCCTTCGTGGCTGACAGGGCTCGGTGCCGCCGCCGGGCTGCAGGTAGCAAACGAACCCCAGCCCTTCTGCCTAGCTCCAGACAGCCCTCCCACTCTCCAGCCGGCAGAAGAATGCTTCTGCGGTTCCATCCCTCATTTGTGTGTTTTAATCCCATATCCTTTATGTAGTCTCCACCTTCTATGTTTAGGATCATCTGGGGCACTTGTTATGACTGCTGCTTCAGAGTCAAACTCTGGTAATGAACCTAATGGCTCATACATGACTTATTTGAGAGGGAAGAGGAATGGGGTGAATTCCCAAACAGCTCTGGAAGATATCAGAGGCCTGTTATGGCACACTGGACAGTGTGTTTCTCAGAAGTTTGTGAGCGCATCCTTTGCTGGCCTGACTTCCAATTGTCACAGGATGCCAGTGACCCACGTAGGGTTTGACCATGGGGTTTTTAAAAGGCAGAGCAGGCCTGAGGCTGCCTGGTGTCACCCCAGCATGCCTGCAGGGCCCAGGTCCAGCAGCCGTGGCCCAGCACTCCGCTAAACTCCTCTCACGGTCCTGCCGTGCGTCAGGTGCTCTGACACTGCTGAGCAAGCAGACAAATACATCAGGGCTTTTTTTAGGTTATTATTATTATTATTTTTATTAATTTTGAAAGAATTGTTACTGGGTTATTCTGTTTTCCCTTATTTGTGATGTTTACCAAGAACCTGCTGCAGCAAACTGTGTTATTTATCTTTGCAGCTTTGCTCCATGATGCAACAGCAGAGTTGAACTATTTGCATGTTAATGTAGGCTGGTTTATAAACGCTGTTTTCTGTACCTTCTGTGTGTGTCAAAGATCCAATTAAAGTTAAAAATGCCTTCCCATAGGGTTTAAAAATCTATGCTACTTATGTGAAAGACTAATTTTATAAACGTGTATTTAATCCAACTTCACTGAAATGAAATTTGCTCCAAAGTGAGCTAATGTTTGTAGTCTTTGTTTTGTTGAAGAATTTTCAGGGAGTGCATATGGCTGCTCTTGGCTAGCAAGGTGGTGTCAGGAGGGGAAAAAAAGAGGTGAGGGAGACTTGTGAGCTTTCTGCTGTTGTGGCAAGGCTAGATTTGCAAGACAGAGGAACGTGTATGTATTATCACTTCTGGAAATGGTAAAGGAAGCTGAAGCTTTTTTACCCTATCCCTCTCAAAACCTGCTACTGTAAGGATATATATGGAGCATTTTAAACTAATGGAAGTGGGGCAGGAATGGGGACATTTGGTAACTCTAATTGGAAAGCAGGACTGGCTGTTTTCACTAAGATGACACTGATATTTCTTAAAGCCTGTGCTCTACTTTGAGAAGGATAACTCACCCGTTATTAAGCTGATTTTGTTACTGATTTAAAGTTTCTACCTGGAGCTAAGTCATTCTTGAGATATTTAAATAGGTTACTGTGACACTTGCATCAACCTTTCGTCACATTTGGGACTTGGAGCGTGGATAAGGGAAGTGAAATGGTGTATCTGAGCGTTTGGGCAGACAGTAGATTTGAGGGTAGATTTCGGTTCATCCTAATACACCATAGGGTTGTGGCCTGGCATGAACAGCCAAGGACTGCCAACAAGCCTTAACCATGCTTCCAAACCTGAATTTCGCTCTGGTGTTCACATAAATTGGAAATGCTGGTATGTTAGGCTTATGTAGAATCAATGCTGTGGGTTTTTCTGATTTACATGTTCTATTTAAAATTTCTTTAGTTAATTAAAATAAAGTATTGGTTTAATAAATAATCAGTGTCTTGGTTCCTGTGCATTTCTGTCTTTGGTTTTGGTCATTACTGATAAAGCAATATAATTATGGTTTAGTGGTTGGCTCACGTAGCAGTGGTAGGAAGTGGATTGTTTTATACTGGATGTCAGAAACTTGCTTATTTATAATTATCTGGTAATTGTGCTGCCCCTTGTTGGCTGATGGTGAAGTTGGTAGCCTGTTGTAAGGAAAATCTGAAGACATTTATTGTGATCAATGAGAGAGCTAGATATACTTTAATGCCAGGTGCTTTTTGTGGTGACCCACAATGGCAGCGTGGAATCACTTTATTTTTGTTATATGTTACCTTTCAAAGCTGCTGACATAACACAACTAGAAGTAGCATCACTATAATATAGGGTATTTCCAAAGGAAACTTTCACCATGCAAAGCTATACTAAATAGTTTGTGTGTCAGGTGATAATGTAAAACTAGAAAACTGTTAAAGGGTGTAATTTAAGAAAAAAATATTTAACTTATATTCCATATGTTATAGAAACTGCTGATCTAAACAAAGAGCAAATGCTTTTTCCTTGCCATTTTAGAACAAGAACAAGGGTACAACCTAAAATGGAAAATCAAAATGTGCAGACAACACTGTGTGGTAAGATACCTGAAAATATTTCTAATTTATTTGAATCTGTTTTACAAAGTTTTAGTAGATTGTGATAAGTCAATTGTAGGAGGGTGACCTACTGGGGAAATGTTCTTTTTCCTTGTTGCCAAATTTTTGGATTCTTGCATTATTCAAACAGTAAATAATGCCAGCATACTTTCACCTTTTTCTGCTGATATTTAATCATATTTTTTCTATTTAATTTCTTTAAGAAACACAAAACCTGAAGTGTTTGAAAAATATGGTATCTGTTCTTGCCAAATTAGGAAGTAATTGTCTAGTAAGTCTTTTATTACATCAAAAATACAAGAAACAGATTTCTATAGTCATTTATCTACTAAAGATTGTACGTAGGTGCACCCCTAAATGCTATGTGTTAACTTCCTGACATAACGACCTGGTTCAGGATGAGATAAGTGATTCAGTCTCGCTTAAATAAATGCCATATAGCAAGCCTTGGCATTTAGCCTAATCCTCCACTGGATTCTGTTCCTAATTCACTCAGATGTTCATAGTTCAATATTATTTGTTAAATAGACGTAATATAATTTGCAATTGGAGAACTTAGTGTGATATAAATTAAGTTATTTAAATTTATAACATATACTAACAATAATTAAAAGCCAGAAATATTAACATGGGACTGTTACTTCAGTGAAGCAAATCGTGCTCAAATAGTTAACTTTGGGTTAAGTACTTTAGTTATTTATAGATGGATAGAAGTGGTGTAGCTCTGTGTTTTGCTTGCTTTTTCTTTAAAATACATAACCATGGTACATTTTTGAGCTGGTTTAATGTAATGCTAAATGAATTTAAAGAAAAGATAACACTTCATGTGAAGTTTTTTTTTGTTTACTCTTAGATATAAAAACAGATCTGAACTTACTGCTTGAATGCCTTAAATACCAGATGGACTGCCCTTTATCTCAGAAAGAGGCTTTGATCACTATTTATTCAATTTGTCAACAAAACAGTAAGAATCGTTTTACCTTCAAAAAAAAATAACCATTTATGTTCACAATGTATGTTAAGAAGCTGTCAATGCCAGGAGAAAATAAGTTAGCTAAAAGACCTAAGATTTGATGGGGTGTAAAATCTTAAGATTTTAATTTTACACAAAAGCAAAAGCAAAATTTTAATTTTTATTCTTTGCTTTGTTTGTTGTAGGTGAAGCAAGCGAATATTTTCGAGAAATTGGTGGTTTGAGGTTTATAAACGATCTTGCAAAGTCAAGTATCCATTGCGTAGTAAAGGAAGCAGCTTTATTTACATTAGGAATTATAATAGAGAGTAATGGTAATAAATACTATTATGTATATTTCTGAGTTACTCATGATCATATTATACCTTGGCTTGTTCTTATTCTCCATTATTTTTCCCATTAAAAATGATATTACAGAATAATAAGCTTGAAAAAGGGAAAATAAAGTTGCCACTGTTCCGCTTTCCCACCACAAGGTTTGAAGAAATACCTTGCTGATATGCCTATCTCTGCTAAATTTGTGTATCCAGCACATCTTAATGCTAATGGACAGTTTTATTGCTTCACTTTCTTGTTAACAAGTGTAATGACTCATAGAGTCTTCCAGAGTTTGCCAAGGACCAGCATAGTTTAGAAGTGACCACAGGAGGAAGCCCTAATTCCCTTTATAGGCCCTCACAATGATTTAGATAAAACAAAGCCTTTGTTTACTATGTTATCATGTTATCAAACTAATTTAAGATTTTTTTAAAAAAAGGCTTGCTTTAAGGTCTTAATGGTTTTTATTTTCTGGTTTCAGTTTACTGTCAACAATCTTTATGTACTTCTGCATTGTTTGAAGACCTCATTTTAGTTTTAATTAATAAGGATTCTGGTGTGAACTTAAAAAGAATGTCTGTTTATGTCATCTTAGTACTGGTTTCGAATAACAGTAAGTGCTTTCTTCTGTGTTATAACACCATTTTTTTACTTATGGTTTCCTTTTTTCTGTTTGCCAATCTACGTTACGGAAATTTGGAACACTCAATAAATAATGCTTTTGTGAGGTTAACTTAAAAAAGATGAATCATAGCATGTCAATGGAACTGAAGTATAGAATCACTGAGATTGGAAAAAGACCTTTACGGTCTTCACTGTAAATGAAAAAATATAAGTAAGTAATTGCTTACTGGGATTTCCTTAAGTAGCAGAAAGTATTTAAATTCTAACATAATATGCAATCCAGGAGTTTCTGACAAAAGTCTTCTGAAAAAGTTAGACATAGAGAAAAATAAAACACTTTTGTCAATGTTTTTCTGAGATTTTCAGCAGGGGAGGGGAGTGCATATTTGCTTAGGAAATGGAAATACAATTCAAATATATAAATTAAATTTGACATCAGGATTTTGTTTCAAGTTGCATGTGTCTTCTGAGTCTGGTATGTCTTCTCTTTTAGAGTATGGGCAAACTTATGTCAGGGAAACAGGCTGCATTGGTCTTCTGCTACAGTTATTCAGGTAACAAACAATTGCTGTTCAAACAGAAAAATAATAGAATTTTTAGGACCTGTTCCCTTTGTTTTTCCTGAACAGAACAACTCTTTCCACATCTGAGATGAATCTGTCAGATGAAAATACTTATCAGAGCTATCAACTGTGGTCTTCAGTCTGCAGTACTCTCTGTGCCTGTGTTAACAATCCTCAGAACGGTAAGTGTTGCTGTTAAAATTGTGAAAAATGGAAAGTGTTTTTCCAAAGTGATAAGTTCTGTTTTCATTTTTATTGTTCAACTGAAATTTCAGTGTGATACTTTGCCAAATTATATTTGTACTTGGGGTTATTTGTTTTTATTTTCCCAGAAGATAATCAAAGCATTTGCTGTGCAGTTTTTCCATACGCAAAAGAGTGGCTAGAAAGTTGCACAGAGCCTGAGATTGTTCGTCCTATTTGTTCATTTGTTGGCCTCACAGTTGCAAATAACTGTAAGTACAGATGAAGCTTTAAACGGTTTTATTTTGTAAGTTTCATTTTCATTTTATAGTTAAATGTTTGATTTCTTCTTATCATCAATCCCTACAAATGCATTTACTGTTTTCGCAACTTTTAAATTGAAAATTAGATTTGACTATCTCCATTTCCCTGGTTTGTGCTTATGAACACAAACAGCCTCATTGGCTGTGATTACTGAGGTTGGTAAAAACTATTTGGGAGCTTTTTTGATTAGAAGTAGTTTGAAAATATTTCATTACTAGGTTTCTGAAAACATTTATATGCATGTGTTAGATCCATATGTTTCTTGTAACTATCTTAAAAAACAATTACAACAATTTCTCAAGATTGATATATATCCAAAGTGAATTTCTTTGTATGGATGGGAATAAAGTGATTAATATGTGCATAAATAAATTGTGGTGAGTGTAAAAAATGCTTAAAACAATTTAAAAAACTCTTTTTTCTCATATTAAGCCACTGTGCAGAAATACTTTGTTTCTGTTGGAGGACTGGATACCTTAGCTAAAGTTCTCAACAAGTTGATGCATGATTCCTGTATAAGTCAATCCAGCACAAAACTTGCAGTAGTAGTAACAAAGACTCTGGATGCCTGCATTGCTAACGACTGTGAGTGAAGAGAGCACTGCCACTTATTTCTGATAATTCTAAATTGCATTTTTTAAAAGCCTGGTTTTGGTGGATAAGTGCTAGGAATGGATGCTAAAAGGCCATTAGTTTACATATATATATGTATGTATCTGTACATATATATACACACACAGATCCAGTTTATATTGCAAAATCTTTAAGATTCAAACTTGTATTGGGAATGATTCAGTTAATCTGAGGTGGATTACTTTGCTATTGTTACTAAAATAAACTTTGTGAAATTTAAACCATACTAAAATTTAAAAATAAGTTACTGGTGCTATTTTTCAGTAAGTAAAGCTGAGAACTAGGCATGGCAGTAAGCTTGGATTCTGGAGTTAGAGTTGTGCTTTTGTAGGCTTGTACTGGAGACTAATAAGCTTTGTAAGCTTTAGGAGTATGCGTGCACTAGCAGTGCTGTTCCCAGTTTTAGGAAGAGTTTGCCCTCTTTACCAGCTATATTCCTAGCTCTTGTTATGGCAGATAACCTGAATCAAACCTTCCTCTACTCTTTAAATCTGTTCTGGAACCGATGTGAGAAAACTCAGCAGAGGTCTACACAACTTGCACATTGGAAAGTCCTTGTTTGTCAGGTCTACCACAATTCTAGAGTACAATTTGGGGGAAAAGGCAGTGTTGGATATGGGGAATGGCATGGGTAGAATTAATACACCACTAGAGGTCTGGCAATTTGAAGTGTTGAAATAAAAAATGAGAGACTAGAGTTTATGCAGTCCCAAGGTGTTTTTTAGAGTCCCAAGTTTCTATAGAGAGTTCTCTTAAAAAAATAAATAATAATTTCAGACTTGAATGGTGTCTATATACTTATTGTCTAGTTCATTTTTCTTCAACTTGTTTTTAACATAATAGCTGCCATGGGTGGCACTTTGGCAAAGTATCACACTGTGTCTGAGCTACTGAACCTGCTGTCTAATGACACTTTGGATACAGGAGAAAAAATGAGTATTATTCTAACAATTGGACATTGTACTGAGGTTTGTGGTAAGAATTTTTTTTTCTTTCTGACGCTTTTTTAAACTGAATTCTCATACATTATTTCAATGGTGACATTTGAGCAAGATTTTGAAACATGAGGGAATGTTCTTTTAAATAGTGTAACTTAATATGCAGGGAAAAAAAAAAAGTTTGCTATATACTTGATCTCTAAACTGTAAGACCTGTTAACACATAGTATCTTTCAGAGCTTTAGAAAAGTAGGCAAGAATTCAGAGTTTGTTTTTAGGTATCACAGGGTAAAATTCATCCAGTCCTGAAAACTACTAAAATGCATACATAACAAATACATTTTTTTGAGCTCTATTTTAATGGCCCTTGAATAGATACAGCTGCTATACACTGTTTACATATCTATTAGTATTTTAAAATGCTGTACAATGGTAATGTTTTTAGAGTAACTTAAGTGCTAAGTAACCCTGAAGTGTTTTTGCCAGGCTCCTCAGGGCATGTACAAAAGTATCTGTTATCTGTTATCACAGTATCACGGATAACAATAAAATTTTAGGCTGCTGTCTTAGTTGATGCCGAGCAGTGCTTACATTTTTGACTTGTCTAGTTTGGCTTGGTCCTTCAAGTTTCTTGCAATAGATTTGAAGTATGGTCAAATCATCCTGTGTGATTTAGAGCACTTCCGCTGCAGCCTGGTTAGTAGGGTCATTACAGCATACTTGAATCCATAACAATGTTGTTTGTGTTTTTTTTTCCTCCCAGAATTTCCTTGGAAGTTACTGGTATTAAGCTTCTAAAATTAGTTCAGATTAAGTGTTTATGAGATTGCAAATAACTTATTTTCTTTTACAACTTTCTATTTTAGAAGAAAACCAATATGAACTGCTCAAGAACAATGGTCTTCCACTTATGATTCAGGTACTAACTGAGTCTCAAGATGAGGAACTAAACAAAGCTGCTACTTTTGTGCTGCAGAACTGCAAACAAATGAGTAAGCTTACTGTTCCTGCTCTAAAAATGAGAGATGACTTCCATATTTAAGTTTTCTTGACTTTCTAAATGATTTTAACTGTAGTAGCTTTGTGATTCTGTGTACTCAGAGATGTTTATTTTCTGCAGTGAAGGCAGAATAAAAGTAAAAACTTCAATGGTGTGACAAGAACACGTTTGTGTAACCTACGTATGTAGGCCCAGTTCATAAAACCTTTTCAGTCTATAAACAATGTACAAAATATTATAATCCCATACCCTATTAGTACTCTGTTCACTAAACCAATGGATAATCAGGCCTGTAATCACCATGGCTACTATTATTTTACCATGTTAAAAAGTGTGAACTTTAATTTTAAAGTAGGGTGCATTTTGAAGCATCCTGTTTAATGTTTTTAAATTGTGTAATACTACCCATGAAGCAGAAAGACACCTTGTCCTTCATTCTTTATAGCACTGAAGGTATTATGCAGTGCTAATCAGTAAAAAGCATGTATCTATATTTTTGCATTAAAAGTGTATCTGAGAGTTTTGTTTAAGTGTATAGCTGAGGGGACATGGTACTTTTCAGGCTCCATCGATACAGAGGTGTTTTATTTTTAAAAGCCATACTGGTGAAGGAACTGTCCAGAATAAAGCGATTTCTTAAAACATAATTTTATAAACATGTTGTAACAGCTGTAGTTGCAAGCTCAATGATTACTTAATGGAAACACTGCAAATGCTTCTTGTGACTGCAGTTTATCTTTGAAGTGTATGAACATGTGTGTATAAATTTAGATTAACAGGGGGTTATATTTTGCATTATTATTTACGGGTAGTCACTTCCTCAGAATACTAAAATATAATAAATATTAAAGTACTCAGTGATTAAAATTTGTAATATTAACTTTATGTTTTATGAAGCTGAACAATTGTCCCTGAAAATAAATGAGAGTTCATTAAATGAGAAGAATGCAGACAAGTTGGAAGCAGACATGCAAATCAGAGAAAGAAGTCTACAAGATTACTGGAAGAAAGCGAGAGAAATTTTACACAGAATAAAATTGATTGAAAAAGAACATGATGAGGTTGGCATGTTTACCAAAGCAGGGTAAAACTAAGCACATCTTCTCAGAGTCTAGGGAGCAACAGGAAGTAAACCCTTAGGATAATTTCACTGTGAGCTAGAAAAGTAGGGAAGATATGGGATGTATGAGAAACAACCTCTGTTTTTTGCCGTTATTGTATATCATACAAAGTTAGAAGGATTGAGTGCAGTCAGAGAAAGACGGCATCTGAATGTTATGAAGTATTTTAGTTTGTAGAAAATCTATTTTTATAATAAAGTTCAGATCATTTAGGTTGAAAAACAAGAGTTAGATTTTATTTTAATCGCCAGTTGCTTAAATTTATAGTTTAATATTCACAAGCACAAAATATCCATGACTGTACAGCTATGACAGGATAGCTAATGCACATGTGAACATAAACTGAAATACAGTTTTGTTATTACATAATTTGCTTGTGCTGTAAAACTGGAGGGTACCTCTGGGTGTGGAATAGCAAATGTTGTGTTATTTGTCTGGATCTTCAGTTAATTAAAATTTACCAAGTGTTCTGTATTAGTAGCACATCCATTGCTTCAGTCTGGAACTATCACTTAATAATTACCCCCTTCGACACCTTTGGTAGCCTTGATGTTTTGTCGGCTTTCAATTCAGTCAGGGATTAGATTGATCTATCCTAGTTGATCATCTTACTAGATTTACTTCGTGGTTTTTGTAGTTTTTAAGAGCTCATATAGTTACTAACTAATATTTTTCAATACAGGAAAGAATGCAAGGAAGAGTATTCGTTGACAGACCTTCAGAAAACAGTATTGAAGCAACAAAATACCATGAAATGAATCCTAGTCATCCAGAAACATATGTAGAAAGAACACATAAAGAAACATGTTATCCACGATTAATGTCTAATTTGGATGGTCAGGTTCTTTCTCTAGCTGTAAATTCTCCCCTGAAAAATGAAACAGTGAATGCTATGAATCCAGTAAACACTTCTACTAGAAAAAGTGAACAGAATGATATTCCACGGCCAGTTTATGAAGTGCAGAGAGACAGTGTACTTCAAAGTCATCGTATAAACAAGAAAACAGGTTGTGAAAAAAGGCAATCTATTCTTCAAGTACAGTAAGTATCTTGCATCTAAGCAGAAATAGTAAGTTGCTTTTCATTAGTAACTTCTGAACTGAATGTCAGCCTTTTCAATTAGTGGTTACTAGCTATGTATTTGTACCAAAGGTTATAGACACTACAGTGTCATTGTTTATATATTTTTTTTTCCCTCTTAATGGTAGGCTTCTGATGATTTGTATAGAGAGCCTGTTACAGGCCATGTTCTGTGGTCTTGAACATAGTGATGAGAAAGCATCCATAGTCTTCTGTCTTCAAATTCACACTGATTTAGAAGATTAGGATTTGACCCATTGGTTTGGATGAAACCAAACCCTTAATACTTCTGCAATGTGCACTTCAAAGCAAAACAGCAGTTATAGAACTGTTCTGCAAGAACTCAAACTGTAGTTCCTATGAAGAAGAAGAAAAAAGCTTTTTTTTCCCCCCATGTTTCTCTTCCCTTGTATTCAGTTCCTTCACTGCATGGGAAGAAAAAGACAGTCATTTACTGTTCTCTTGCTTTACATACCTGTCTCACACAAATGCTTATTTTCCTCTTTTGCTTCCTATGGTTATCTTTCTTACTGATAAACAAAAAACGATTTATAGGCAACCTGTAAGAATAAGTATAGATTCCATTGTCTTGCATTTACATAGAAGTATCCTCTGAGACAGGCAGTGGGAATATGAACAAAACTATGGATCTTTTTTTTGTCGTTGTTCCATGTTTTTATTGTGCTTCCTTTATGTGGCTGGCTGGACCGTGGTCCTATACAGATTGCTAGCATGTGTTATATTGTGACTGCAGCTGGCACAGAAATAAACAAGGGCCTAGTATATTTTCCGTGGTACCTTCACTTAAATTCTACTTTGCTACTAATTGGCATAATTTCACACAGCTTTTTTTGTTGTTCTGACCTTTGAAGCACAAAATTACCAATGAATACATTTTGTGGAAAAAGCGCTCTCCTTGCATGTGTGTATGTGTAAAAACAGGAGTTACCTGAGCCCAACCATGCATTAGGCTCCTTGCTTCTGCAGCATTCAAAGGTAGTCAATGATGTTGAAAAATGCACGATCGTGGTATCACAGGAATGTGTTGGTTGCATAAAAGATACTCAGTGTAAGAAGAGAAGATGACAAATTACCTTTCAGAGCAATTGCCACATCTGGTAAAAGTTACAGTGTTCTGAACACTTTGAAAGTTTAACATGCACTAAGTAACTGTGATATAAACTGGAATTGGAAATGATTCTGGAAAGCAGCGAATGCCAGGAAAAGTACTGTGTTCCGAATGCTGGAACAAACATGCTGCATAGCACTGCAAGGAATGCTAATCACATGTATTGGGTAAACAGATTTCTAAGATGATAATATTATGCTGGATACTTCTAGCTCAGAAACTTGGGATAAATACAATATTTTTTTTAGAATTTTATCTTTTATATATTTAATGTGCTTTTTGTTCTGTATTTTGGAACGTGAGTATTAATTTACAGTTAAATGTATGTTTTGAAACTTTATATAAAATTGGTTCACATTGTTAATCTTTCCAGGAAAGACTTATTTAAACAACCAGCAAAGACTGTTAGAAATATGAAACAGGCATGCACATCAGGTACAAATAGCTAATCATATTCATGTTTTAGATAATTTTGTTCTTAATGATTTTAATTTGCTTTGTTTATTTTTATCACTACTTTTTTATCATGTTTAAGTTAGATGACAAAATACGTTACTTGTAATATTCTTTAACTGAATAATTCTGGAATTTTATATTAAATACAACCTTATCTAGAGTGTTCTTTTTTCTTTTAAGATTTTTTAGCTTTTTATTTTATTTTATTTTAACTATTCAACTGAATGTCTTACAGATAAATGTTTTAAATTAAGTCTGAATGCAATCCATACTGAACAATTGAAGCCCTTAACAGAACATGTGCAAGGCTACTGGTTTTGTACTGTACTTTTAATTGTGGGGATAGAACCTACCTGTGAGAGTGACTTGCCTGAAGATGTTCCTACATTTTGAGTGTGTGTGGATGGTGGTAGAATAAGAGTTTTTCAGGTTTACAGTAGGTTTACAGTGATTTTCTTTATGTGTATTTATTTCAGAATTGGAATATAGTCAATCAAATTTTTGCTTATAATTTAGTCTCCAATTAACTTACAAAATCATTCATTAGTTCAGTGTTCGCCAGGATGGTAGCTTTACAAGGGACAAAGCTGACTTTCACAAATGGTTATTTAAATGAAAAATAAGTAGTATTCCAGTACATCACACTTTCAGTATCTGATTCTAAATAAAGATCATGTTCATGGAACTTATTTAAGCAATGTAAGTTTACAGGGTTATTTCGCTGTGTTCAAGTTGAAGTGGTACGCTTCATTAGGAAAGTAAATAAAAAGTAAGCATTGAATTATACATAATTCTGGATTTACATAAACATAAATACTCTCTGTTTAACTTCAGGAAATTTAATTTGGATTTTCTGCTGTTAATGTGAATTCAACTTTCCTAATCTATAAATTGAAAATATAATGGATATAGGTATGCTGATGCATGATTCCCCTAGCAAACGATAGCTTGCATTTTCTTCCCAGCGTTTTTTTTTTTTCCCTCTTTATTTAGACAACCATTCATTGTCCTCAGAGATAACCAAGGAAGAAAAAAGTACCTTGACTACAACTGCATCCCTTAAAATGACAGATATAAGGTGTATAGGTAAATATCTTTGGTCTTTGTTTCCTAAATTCAAAAAAGAAGCATTGAAGAGCCACCAAATCAGAAAGTGAACCTGACATTACAGAAATCTTAACACTTCTATTGGATTACCTGTTCTCTAATCCTTAACTGCTTCCTTTACTTTCTCTGCTTCTAAAATAAAAGAAATATTGACATAAAGCTTACATATTCTGATCCTGATCTGTGTGTCTTTAGTAATGTTGGTTTTACTAAGAAACAATGTACAATAGCTTAGAGAACACCTAGTAGTTACAGAGCAGGTCTTTGCTTCCACAGAGGGAAAAAAAATGAAGCCCTGCTCAAATCCCTTATGTATTCGCCCTGCTAAGCCTCCTAACTATTATGAAGCCCTTCTATTTTCTCTGCCTTACTGCTCTTAAATAGAGAGAGGCTATCACAGCTATCCATGACTGCAGCCTGCATTTCCTCTGTATTTTCCTTCCTGAACACAGTCCATCAGTAGGTTATGAAAGTGCCTCTGCTACTCAGCGTTTGTAAGTGGAATCTGTATGGTCTTTTTTTAAATAGATCCACAGTCCACTGTGAAGTATCATGTGGGCATATGAAATCAAGTTGTCCAAATAGTTTCAACCTGAGTTTCAGCAGTGCTTTATCTTAGGCTACAATATTGCTGAGATACACCTGTGCCCTTCAAATTCTTCACAGAAGTTCTTTTTCAGCTGCCATAACTAACAGTGAGAGTACTTAAGAGTAACTAAAACGTATATTAGAATGGGTTATGACATCAGAAAAAAGTCAAAAGGCTTCCTGTGGGGAATTCAAAAAAGGGAATTCATGCATAAACTAGGCTTATTGGTTATATTCAGGTTAATGCAAATAGCTGTCACAACATAAATTTTCACAGTAAAGCAAAGACATGTTTTATGTTTTAGCTCCTGCAGAAATCGTTCCTTCTGTGCAAAGTGAACTGGGGCCCTTTCTTCCCATCCCATCAATATTGTTATTTCTGTAGAGAATCTGTGCCTAATTAAGTAATCTTAGAGTTGAAATGCAGTACAATTTGGTTCCATAGGTCATGTTGAAAACAAATTTAGAGAGCAAGCACAAAACAAGAAATAAGTATTATCAAGAAGATAAATAACCTCTTTTAACATATGTATATGAAAAATTGGAGGTTAAATTGTAGATCATAGTAACATGCTGGATTTTATGATGGCTGCTATAGCAGTTATGCTTACTGTTTCTACAATTCCCTATTTTTTTTCCAGGTTGTACAGCAGCAGGTCTGTCTGTCAATAGCAAAACTTTTAGCAAGATGCTGCGAACTTGTCCATACCTATGTTATCATCACAAAGTCGTTCTGGAAGCTGAAGAAAGATATAAAAAGGAACTTCAGAAGTTGTCTGTTTCTCATATTAGTGGATATGCAGCTTTTGAGCGTAATTTATTTTGTTTGTTTTTTAGTAACTGTTTAGTAACTTGTTTTAACATTCTTATTCTGATATCCTACTCACTTTATATGATTTACCAATGATTTGTACTAAGTGAGATTGGAACTGCCATTTTTTTGGAGGATCAGTTAGTCAAATATTAATATAAGTGAATATATGAAGTTGCAAAAAGTGTGAATGGATGAACTTTACAACGAACTTGTTTCACTCCAATATTACATGCTCATGGATGAAAAGAGGCTTACAATTATTGATCAATAAAAAGAGCATTGATCTTATTTAAAAGCATCTTTTATTTTTCTGGTTTAACAGAGGCAATTTTTAAAAGTAATTAAATAGTTATTGTCTGCTGGCATTTTTAATGGTCTCTATCTTACACTTTTTAGAAATACTGCTGACCCCAATAAAGAAAGGAAAATTGCATACAGAGACATCAACTTTTAAGAGCAAAAAGGATAATGTCCAAAGTAAGGCCTTAGTTTGGAAATTAATACAAAAAGCATTTGTTGTCCGAGTAATCTTATTGCAGGGTTTCACCATGAGAGCCTGTGGATAAAGAATTATGATATTGTACATGGATTCTGTCAACAATCTGTCAGAGAATGCGTAATTTATACTCATGAAATTATTACATATACTACTTTACAGTTAAGTTATCTGGCGATTGCATTGAATCCTGCTACGGTTACTGCCATGCCATCTACTATTTCTCAGTTTTGTAGCCTTAATTTTAAAAATGTAGAGGCACAGCCAAGATCAGATCACAGTGCAGCTGTTTGTTCCTAGATTCAGCATCATTCAGCTGCACCTAGATTCAGCACTATAGCTGTGTTATCCTATTTCTGTTTCTGTTCCTTCTTGGAGTTCTGCTAAGGACTTGGGTTTCTGTGTGCTAAATAGCTAAAAGTAAACTTGAAACATACAACAATACTGGAGCAAGTGTCTGGAAGTGATCTATCAGAAAATTAAAGAGGTTTGTTTACCTGTCCTGTATACTGAGTTGCTGAGTAAGACATTACTGACAAATAGAGATGGAAAAGTGAATATTAGCTCTATCAGCCTCTGCAGTACAATTTCAGAACCCTGTGCTTACAAAAGCATCAGTTGCCCCTAAAAAAAGGTAATGTCTATAATGCACAATTGTCCATTTGTAAATAGTGGAATATGTATCTTTTAAAATATTTTATTCTACAATATAATGAAAAAGTTGGTTATAATTTGAACTCGTTTATTTACTCCACAAATATATCTATTTTTTGCATAATTCACAAGGAATTTTCTTCAGAATGTGGTGATTTTGGGCACATCCTGCAGAGCTCCGACTGCAGTCAAAATAATACATTCAGCAACTAGTGATCCATACTGTTAACTTAGGACTGACCGGAAATTTTAAAGCAAGCTGAAGAAGCTCTCAAAATCAGTACTTAAATTCATAAATGTTAATATTACTTAAAAAAAAAAAAATATATATATATATATATATATATATATATATATATATATATATATATATATAAACAATTCTGAAAAATTAGCCCATTATTTTTAGTGTTCTATTTCCAAAAACCTTGTTTACATCATTATGTAATTGATTTCTGGTAATAGCTAGTGTGTGTGTGTCTGTATATATATATATATACATATTTAAAATCATATTCAGAAACTAATTTGGCAATGATAGCCATGGAAGTTTAAAAACTTTTGTTAAAAAGAGCAGCTGTTTATTTCATCTCAATAACTCATTACACTAATAACCTTTAGCAAGTAAACATTTTCTGAATTTAACTGGATTTTTCAGTCTTTCTTCCAAGAACAGATAGTAGTATGGCTCAAAACATGGTTTTCTCATAAATTTTAGTTCCTAAAATGTTACCTGTGTTTTATGTTTTTTTTTTTTTAATTATTATTATTATTATATTTTTTTCAAGAAAAAGACGAGATGTTTTATTTTTTTAGGTATTCTTTTGACTCCAATTAGAAAAAACAAACCTGATACTTCCCATAGAGATGAACATAATAAAAATACTCGGTTACCTGAAGAATATAACTTGCTACCGATATATGAAAAGTGTGAGTATTACCAGAAAATTAATACTGTAATAAGAGTAACTTAAAGACCATTCATGACCTTTAACTCAGGGCATTGAAAAAGGAATCCATGCTTGCTGCTAGAGACAAGTAGCTGAGAATTTAAATACTCATTCTTGTACCTTCACTCATAGTATTATTGAGGTTTATTTTGGGCTAAATCCTATTACTTGCTAGTTGCTTCCAGTACCTAAATAATCCTGACACGTTAATAACAATGATTGGAAAAAGATCTAGTGAAAATTAGATATTACTAATAAAGCAACAGTTATGTATTCATGTTCATTAGAAGAAATGTTCTTTTACAACACTACATTGAGTTTTACAGTAGAGCTCAGTTACTTCAGAATAACTAAGAGGTGGCCTTGTTCACAATTTCATAGCTTTCCAAAAAAACCAGGATGCTAACTTGAAGAGACAATGTGTGAAAGAAAAGCACAGCCAGGAATGCCAACAGTTAAAAGAAAATTGTATATATTCACTTGACGAGGATGAGGTTAGTTATGCGAAGCCTACTCATACGCTCACATATTTATAAATGTAACATGAGTGTGAATTACATATTTTCTTTTCAAGTCACCCTTAACAGGACCCCAGTAACAAAATGAACCATATTCAAAACATATCCTCCTCTGCTGATTCTACTTCATAGTGATTTATCCCTGAAAGAAGTTAAGCATTTTTCTACTGTTAGCCCTTTCAAGTTAGTGGATATGGAGGTATACTTTTTTCTTGTACTTAAGAAAATTCCTACAGTATAGAAATAGTAGAAAACTAAAGGCATAGATGTTCTGGCTAGAAAACAGATACTGAGGGTGGAAGTTAGGTAGGCACAACAGAAATAAATGTGTCAATGTTTAAATATACTGTATTTCATTGAGTGGATGACTGAAGAAATGGCTGAACGTAATATATTGAAGAGCCATCATTATCCTGATAAAGCAATTGTTTCTTCAGAACTAGTTAAGGTTGCATCACCAGTAATAATGCATTGCTTCTGAATGGGAAATACTGTGCAAATTTACTTAGTTTTTAATTACAGCAAAATAAATACTGGCAGAACAATGAGAGAGACTCCCTGGATATAAACATAAGAACTTTAAACAAGAAAAGAAGAATCCGAAAAGATTTCACAGATGAAGAAATCAATTATCTTTTAACTGGAGTAAAAGAAATGGGTCATCACTGGAATTTGATTTTGTGGTCCTACCCATTTCAGGAAGGACGGACGAACGTTGATCTTTCCAGCAAATACTACAAGTTGCAGGTGCAAATAACTAAAGTTTAGTTTTCTACTAATAATATATACTACCAGGTCATTTTTAATCTTTTCACCCTGATTTGACTCTCAAAAAAAAAAAAACAAACACAAATCCATAGGATGTTAGAATTTGCAGCCTGTGGGGTTGGTCTTTCTGTCATTTCAATGTTTTGCATGCTGAGGATTTGAATTCCAATGTAATTTAGAGATGCTATCAACGGATGGATCAGATAGCATTTTTTGCTGTATTCTGGGTAAATGTGGGACTGGGCAACCATTTTTCTACTGAGACTTTTTTCTAAAATTGTATAGTGTTTTGTGTCAACATTGGTCATGATGGTTTTTGTATCTACTATCTTACAGAGGCAGGAAAAAAACAAAAGCCGTCAATAACATCTTTCAAGAATATTTTCGATTTTGATGCAGAAAGTTGAAGAACAGCTTTATTAATGAAGAGGTACTACCACAATGATACAAGCCTGTTGAGAATTTAGATTGGTTTGAACTTGTGTTTTTCACTGCTAACATTCATTTACAGAAATTGTTATGCTTTGCGAATTTCACTTAAATGTAATTTTTTTAATAATGCTAAAATAGCTACTAAAATAGTCTTTACCAGTAAAAGTTATTTTTTAAAAGAACTTAATTTAACGTTCTTACACTTTTGGTTTTGCAACAATTAATTTGCTTTGATTCTTTTTACAATGTATTTGTAAAGAAAAGGTTTATTGAATATTTTGAATTTAATTATTTGAATTACTGAATATTTTTATTAATATTTTATGCCAGAAACTGCTAAGTGTTAATGTTCTGACTTTTTTTCCCCTTTTAATTGGTGAAATCAGCGGCTAAGGTACTTTATGCACTTGATGTGCAGTATGTGTAGAAAAATAGAATACATTTCCAGACATCTAGAAGAGGTGTTTTTTTTATTCTAAGTTATACAGTCAGGTCAACAATTAAGAGAATCGTATAGTAGCAGAAATGTTTAAGTGATTGCAGAGGTTATAAAGACCTTTCTAATGATATCAAAACATTCACAAAATAAATGCTAATAACTATTAATTTTGAACATAGAAGTTGTAGGAAACGTTCAAGAAAATCAACATACCTGAGGTATTTTTGAACAGAAGGTTGTATACTTTCAGAGAGAGAGGACTGGTAGAACAAGCTTTATAATTTTGTTAAATTCTTACTTGCAAATAATTCTGAGTAAAACAGGATATATCTATGAGAGAAAGCACCAAATGTATGTTTGAGCATTGATGAATACGCTAGGCAAATCTTACAGAGGTTGACATAAATTGAATTATAGAGCTTGTGGAGATTTCAGAACTTATACACGGAAGATAGTGTGTGGTTCAGCTGCAGTATTTCTTATATGACATTCATGGACCTATGTAAAATACTTATGTGGTGAACTAAATAGAGTGTAGCTACTGATTAATTTGACTTCTAGTTACAGTGGAACATTTCTTTGTATATTATATAAGTGCATGAGCAGAACGACTGTTCTTGCTAAATATACAATGGTTGTAAAAAGCTTTAGTGAAAGCCTTAATAACTTGATTTTTCAGTGATAACCTTAGTATTTCTGTTCTAATTAGTTCATTTATTATAGAAAAAGCTTGGTCATCTTATTTGCTGTAGGCTTTTACTATGATGTAGCTTGAATGCTTAAAAGTGAGAAAGATAATCTGAAATTGAAGGACTTCTACTGATGCTGATGGTATAATAAATCGTTTTTAAATGTTTTTCAGCTGTTGCTCTTTATATATATATATATATCTTGTTAAAATACTAAAGAACCTATAAAAGGTGCCTTAAGGCATATCTTTGTAAAGGCCCAATCCTATAAACCTTTATGAATGGAGCTATTCCAAGTGGTGTAATTAAATATTGGCTTACGTATTTGCAGAACCTGAGCCAAAAGTAATACCAAGGAGTGGTGCATACGTCAGTGAGATTTTGGTCTGTTACGCACTCCACAACGTATTTTTCCAAGGACTCATAAGCTAGTCCAGGCAAGCTTCTATTTCATGTAGTATCTGAATGTGTATTAGTAATCCATATTGTTCTGGCCTAAATGTATTTGAAGTGGAAAAAATATGGAAGACGTACATCTTTAGTTGACAGATGTAATCAGAGTATCGCAATATTGACAATTTACTTATTTGTAGGTAACAATTTAGGTTGTGAATGACCTCTGGAGTCAGTAATCTAACTTCCTTAGAACAGGCCTAATTTCAAAGTTAGTTCGGGCGCTCTGTGCCTTGGCAAGTGCTGAATATCTCCAAAGCTGAAATCCCCACAATCTCCTCTGCTGCTTTAATTCTCTCATAATGAAAATTGCTGAAATAAGCATCATTAAAACGTTCTTATAAAATCCTGCAAGGGAGAGTCATGACTGGGAGCGAGTAGAGACGTGTTGTGTGAATTTGTGCAAGTTGATTCATCTCTGTCTGACAGTAAGTGACTGAACACTCTGGGTAATTGTATTTTCTTGTATAAACTGCTTTGAAATGCACACAGAATGGTTATTAGTAATACAGTTGCGTAAGACCCATTCATGTCACTTTTAGACTTCTTATGCTACCCCATGCTTTGAAAAGTCCTAGTGCCTGGCGGTCACTGCCCAAGTGTGAGGGAAGGGATTTCAGAAAAAGTATTTAAAAAAAAAACAAAAACGAAATTGTTTTGTAACACGAGTGGAAGAACAAAATTTATCGGAGAACTGCAAGAAGGTGGGGGGGAATCTGCGAGCGTTACTCCAGCCCTCTAACTACACCTATCGCCGGATTCTTCACACCTCACCCCGGGCAGCCCCCGGCAGCGCGGGCAGCGCTGTGGCCCCGTCCCGCCTCACGCTGCGGCACCAGGGGGCGCTGCCGAGGGCCGCCCCCCGCCGCGGGAGGCACCGCCCAGGGCGGAGGCGCTGCCGGGGCTGCCCGGGCGCCGCCTGATCGCGACGCGGCCGCGGCTGCGGGCGGTTGCGCGGCCGCGAGGGGCAGCGCTGGGCCGGGCAGGGCGCAGCCGGGAGCGGGGAGCCGGGGGCGGCGGCGGCGGCGGCAGCGGGCGACGGCGGCAGCGGCACCGGGCGGGCCGGGGAGAGGGAGGAGCGGGGTCCTCGGCGCGCCCGGCTGAGGTCACTCTTTGTGGCTGCGGCTCGCAAGATGGCGCCGGTGCTGGTGGAGAAGAAGCTGCTGGGGCCGGACGGGCCCGGCGGTGCCGAGCTGCCCAGCGAGGAGGAGGAAGGGCAGAACCTGTGGTGAGCCCCCGGCGGAGGGAGGGAGGGAGTTGGGGAGGGGGGCACACGCACGTCCTTCGTGCCCCGCCAGCCGGGCGTGCCCTGCCTGTCACGGCGGGGTCCCCCTGCCCCGCGGCGCCGCCCCGGCCCTGCTGCGGCGGGCGGGAGCCCCGAGCCCCGGCCGTGGCGGAGCGCAGCCCGCAGCCTGCAGCCGCTGCCAGGAGCTTCCCGGCCCGGGGGGGAACGGGGCCGGGATGGGGGCACAGCCGGGAGCTGGGTGGTGGTGATCGGGGGGTTGCAGGATGGGGCCTCGGGGAGTCGGCGTGTTGCTTTTCAGTCAGTTATCTGTTTAAAAAGAAAAAGAAACGCGTGTGAAATGCAGGAATGGATTGTGGGAAGAGTTAGTCATCAGCTGGGAAGCACTGCTAAGCCGTAACGTGAGCTCCGCTGCGGGAGAGCAGCTTCGGGAGGCGTCAGTGCCCGTGCTCTAGGTGCCAAAAAAACTTTCCTCAAAAAGGTGGCAGGCTTCTGGGGAGGCCTTTTATTGAGATGAACTCAAATCTTTACCTGCAGCAAGCCCAGTTTGTAAATAGAACGAATGTGACTGGATTGGTCCGCGTAGATCTGCTGAGCTCATCAGCGCTGTCAGACGAGCGGTGCGGTGCGTGCTGCTGCCTGTGTGCAGCGTGTGCCTGTCAGCATAACGAGGACGATGCTCTTTTTCTAGGTCTTCGATACTGAGCGAAGTTTCTACCCGGTCGAGATCTAAATTGCCCTCAGGCAAAAATATTCTTGTTTTTGGTAAGTAGCACATGCAAGCGTGAGGATTTTCTTCTTTTGGAAGAAGCAAAGCACGTTGAAAACAATGGTGTGAACAAATTGACACATCATTTTGTTAAAATTAGCTTATGTAATATGATCTATGGCATTCTTGTCTTCAGGCTGGTGGATTTATTTTCTTTCTGGTTTATTCTGTTATTTTTATAAAATATATTTAAATAAATGGAATGTAATACTGAACAATGAAGCATATCTTTGTTATTGTTGTGTTATTATTGGTATAAGCTGCTGGATTTCACTAGAATGCTTAAAAGAATATAGTAAGTGTGGTCCAAAAATGTACAAAACCACTTCTGATTTCTTAAGCGTGTTTTGAAAGTCGTCTCTACAAAGTTATAGTTAATTCTGAAACTGTCTTTTTTCTTTTTCTGTCTTTTTGTTTTCCTGTACAAACTTACTGGCAGGTGATGATGGTTCTGGTAAAACCACACTTATGGCTAAAATACAGGGAGCAGAGCATGGCAAAAAAGGAAGAGGACTGGAATACTTATATCTAAATATTCACGATGAAGACAGGGATGGTAAGTTTATTTTGAATGTAATCTTTTTTCAGTAATAGCTGACCTGCTTTTTTATAATTCCGGTTTCATCAGTGCATTTTGGGTTATGCCCAAGTACCTAGTTCCAGTATTATTGGATATGTTTTATCAACTATATCATTTTCTTAAGTGAAACGCATTTTATGTTTGGACTAGTTTCTCCTTTTCGCCCATTTCACACTTCCCCTATGTAAGAGGTGAAAGTACACTTGAGCTATTGATATAGTTAAGGATCCATCTATTTTAGGGTAGATATGTTTCCTGATGTTGACTTACTAGTAGATACGTTAGTAGATAAATCAGAATTAGGATTTTATTTTCTCAGAATGGAGCTTGTCTCTTTGTCCCTTGTATTTCTTTTTGTTGCTGTTAATGATACGTCTTTTCTAGTAGATGGGAGGCAAGAGACTGATACAAGCAGGTCTAACAATGAGAATACTGTTAGGATATTGTTAGGAAGGCTAGAGACAAGAAGAAATGAAGAGTGAGCTAATTATCCTCACTCATCAATCTTCCTCTGCCTATCTCATTTTGGGCAAAATGCTGGACCTCTTCATGTTAGTTTCCCTCCCCCAAAACTGGGAATGGTGGTCTTCCAATTTCTGACGTTCTGATTTTCCAATGCTGAAGAGGAAAGCACTGATGGTGGCTCATCCATCTTTCCTGAAGAAAGAGGAACTGGATAGATCCTAAAATGGTATTTTGGAAATGGAAATGCACTGCATAAGTGATTAAGTACCATATGTGTCTGGTTGTTATGGAGATTGGTCCTGTGCTCCTGTGGTAATAAACTGTCTTCAGATACTAGTGAGGCACCGTTAGTACACGAGTACATTGCCTGTGTCTTCAGTGACCACCTGACCTTGCAGTTCTTAAAAATCTTGTGTGTTTTAACTTTCAATGTTGAGGCCATTCTTCGCTTTTTGAGGTTCTTACTGTACGTGCTTGCTCCCTGTGTATAATTGTCTTCTGTACTGTGTAAATAGTTCAGGGTGAAAAGCCTGCCGGTAGGGGTGTTAGGATAGCTTGTGGCATCGAGCTTCTTGCTATTGTAAGCAGGCAATTGCTGGGTGTGCTATTCTTACTGGTGCTATTAAACCTCAAGTATGTCTCCACTCTGGAACTATTTTGGGTCTGTTTGTGAGTATCTCTAAGTGATAAGTATTTGAGGTGATTAGGAGAAGCTTGTCATAACTCTTGTACCAGTAGCAGGAAAAAATGAGACCTTTTAGTTTATCAGACTCAGCTGCAAAATTCAGGTCTTTGCGCGTCCCTTTCATGGTTGTGTTAGGATCTAATAATATCTGCCTCTTTCCTTTTTGTCTCATTGGTGTCATCAGCAAGCAAAATAAATAGCAAAGTAGGTCAGGACCTCCTGGCAGGCAGAGTTAACTCTGACTTCTCTAGGACACACTTGGGTTCTTTAAACTTGTTGCATGCTTCAGGTGTGTGTGTGGTCAGACACAGATGTGGGAGCAAGCCCATATAATTGTCCCACAGTTCTTGCAAGTCATAAAAAATTGAAGATAGGTAATCAGGAGCTTACTATCACATACCCATTTTTGAGGCTGTCTGCTTTTTATTATACCCCAGTCTCTGAGACCAGCAAACCACGAAGATTTCCATGGGTGTCAAGCCAATCCTTGTGGATGAAACTAGTGGAATAGTGGAGTCAAGATCTTGTCAGCTTCTTTCCCAGATGCTGGAAGGCTTCTTTGCTTTTTACCTTTTTTCTCTTCATTTCAGAAGAGTTTATTCTTTCCAGGGAAAATAGTTTGGTCATAGTGCCAAGTTATTATCTACCTCCCTTTGGAAGTCTTGAGGGAAATCTTATGTGTTGTTTCTTATTTCTACTTCTCCCCCTCCCTTTCCTGTCTCCCTCATTAAGGGATATTTGAATCTGGCTCCTCCTTCGTCCTACGCTTAAAGTAGAGTCATAGAGTTACTACTTCATGCTGGGTCACACAGGGTGCATAATTTAGTTTCCTTTTTGTCTTTTCCACTAAGAAAAGTTACACACATTTAAGAAAAGTTAAATAAATTTATAAAAACCACTTTGTTTTTGTTTGTTTACGAACCTCTGTGCCTGATATAGGTGTCC